TGAAAGTTCAGCCTTGAAATGAGAAGGAAAGAAAACTAGTAACGATATAAAAACAGTTATGTAGATTATTTCAAGGTCATGAGCAAAACAGATGGCAACAGCTGTGCAACATTAGCGGTATATATCATTCAGAGTCAAAGGAATTACATTTACAAATAACAATAAACAATAACTTAATACAGCAGTTAAAATAGTTATCCACCACATGGAAGCGAAGCTGTAAACTACAATAAAAGTATTCTTTTTCAATGCTTAACTCAAGTACATGAAGTTATGGTATTTGAACTTAGTTTTAACTTATGCTGATCTAAGGTGCTTAAATTGTTAGTTATTAACGACAAAGCTTTTTAGTGGTTGAAATTCAAAAGATGTTTCGTTGAAATATAAGTCAATTTTTGAATTTCATCTTTTTCACTTTAAAAGAACTCACCAGAAAGACTGGTAACTTCAAAAAACTTATGAAGTAAATGAAAGCATAAAGTTCATAAATGATTATTTTTTTTATAGTCTAAACTAAGCAAACATAATTAATAGGAATTATGAATTCAATTAAATGACTTTTTATTCCGTCATTATACTTTAGTAGTTATTTATACACCTATTATACCTCTAACTGAGAAGACACGTGACCTAAGCAAGTTGAGGTCATTATAGTTTGACCTCAAAATGCAATGACATAGTAAAGTGCAACATTGGAGAGATCGCCTATACTTTTCTATTAGACCTATTATATTGCATTTTCAAGTAATCGAATTTTAATTATTAATAACTACAATATTTACTATATATTTCATTTCCGAAAGTAGTTTGTCAAACAACAAGATTTTTTATTTCATTTTCTCTATGGTTAATAAGCTGTATTGAGGTCAAGTAAGTTGCTGTTTTCAAGAATATTTTTATCCCTTTCAATGTATTGTGAAATGTTGCTAATCAGTACTCAGCCTGAATAGCATATTAAAATATCATCTAGTTTATTTTGTCAACCATTCCATTCATCTAAAAGTTTATTCCTTATGGTTTAAGTATACATAAGGATTGTGATAATGCAACTAGTATTTTTATTTATTAACCTATAGTTTATTAACTTTACAGTGCCTTGATTATTTAAATAACTGGATCTCGAACAAGATGTTAACAAAATCAACTTATCTAGTTGTTTACCTCTTGCAGTTACACTTAATACATGTTTCATGGTTTGAAAATTGATACTATTCACCGTTACAATATTGTAGTGATTTTAACCTTTCAAATCTTAAATTCTAAAGGATTCAGTAGTAGATTGAATACCTTAATTATAAAATCTACGATCTCAAACTCAAAACTTAGATAAAAGCGTCTAATAGATTGGTTCTTAGCGTGTAATATAAGGGTAGAAATTAAGTAGATTCGGACATTTTTTAAATTCAAGTTTTTTTGTTTCAAGATAGAAGGCTATGAGGCTATATTAATCCTTTTCTAGTTGATCTCTTTGCTTGTCCAATCCTCTTTAGAACGAATCTGTTAATACAGCAAACATCACTTCTTGTAGGAGTTGGTTCAAAGAGTTGATTATGCACTCACTATATGGTTGAGAGACTTGGTGCGTTACGAAAAGCATTTCCAACAAACTACAGACATTCATCAACAACTGCCTACACCAGCTCATTACCAAAGCTCAGATGGTCAGAATAATAAGAATAAGCAACAAGGAACTCTGATAACGAACCAACCAAGAACCTATCGCTAAACAAATATGCACAAGGAAGTGGAGATAGATTGGATAGGGCATACACTGAGAAGACCGACTGGGAACATCACGCATCAGGCCCTTGAGTGGAATGCAAAAGGGAAACGACGAGTTGGACGTCGGAGGTGAGGGTGACATGGAGGAGATCATGTGAGGAAGAAAAGAAAACTTTTGGAGAGTCGTGGAGCCAGGTTCAAAAGACTGCAGCGAACAGAGTGCACTGGAGACGTGTTACTGAAGCCCTATGTTCCACTAGGAGCTCAAGCGGAAAAAAACACCTCCCTTGGTATCAAAATGAGATAGAGATTACGAAGAAAGGCTTAAGGTGGAGATAAGTTGTTTTTAAATACCCCAAGGGTGTTAGAAATTTCGTATGGCTAAGGCTTAAATGAACTTAAATATACGGTCCTGGTGGCTCTCCAAACAGTGCTTAAATTGTTATATAGGAGCCATCTGTCTTCTTAATAGAAGGGTTTGCTTGGTTTTACAACCATTCCGTGAACAATTTTTGTTGATACCTACTTGTGCATTTGGATGTCAATAATTCGGTACAAAGCGCTAATGGTAGAGCTTTACAACATTAAAATATAAGTTTAATTTACTGCTTTAATCCTGGTAGAGGTCCTTACTGGCAGTCAAAAGTAGTTTTCTTTATCTACGGAAAGAAGTCATAGAATACTAAGTAGATGTTTCATTTTACTTTGAAATTACTTGGCGATAAGCAATAACAAGTTGGTAAAGGCTGGAGTCCAAGACTATCCGATGTGGCGGGAAGTGGAATGCATTACAGTTAAGTGACCGTTGTCTCTCTATCTTGATAATAAGATAAATGTATGCATTACTGAATGCGAGTCATAAAAAAAACAGTATACTATCCACTACATACTAACATAATTGAAAATTAGTGACTTATAGGTGACCGAACTGAAGTTACATCATTACGAGGGATACATCCCATGACTATTCATTCAGCTTAGGTTCAAACTTTCGAGGAAAAAGGTATTACTTTACTTATGAATAATGTGTATGAACAGAATTGTGTCTAGTGTTATGACAAGCATAGGAGTTGTAAAACTGCATGATTTTTGTTAGGCTAATTCAACCCTTTTTGTGAAATGCGCTTACCAAATATGTAACTGATGCACAGTTTTTGTTTAGCATATAGTATAACTCTGTTTGTTCTTCATAGGTGATTCAGTATCTGAGACCAACTTTTTGAAATGCTTATAGGGCGCTTGCAAGTTGGTTAAGATACTTTTTTAATGTTTTAGATGGTGTATACTAGACGTTTAGTGACGGAATTATTATCATTATTACTATTATTATTAAACAGCAAGAGTTACGTATCAGGGCAGATATACAGAGCAATAAGTGAACTAATAAATAGTTGCAAGTGTTTAATTCTTACTAACAGAAATATAAACAATGTTGTTCCAGCTTATATTAGTTTGTGATTATAACCACCTTGGAATCACCTAATCCCTACAAACCTTTAAGGCGAACCACTGTCAAGTTCTCACTACTAACACGCTTTGAGATGAAATATCCTGAAGTTCTTTTGAAAAGTGGTGACCGGTGGAGCAAACGCAGTTGGATGAGAGGAAAAATACTCAAAGACTTCATTGGATGAAGGTCATGTTATGTCATGAATTGCAGAATTAGGAAGTGAAGACCACTGAACTCTGAATGAGTGGCTTAGTGGTGACAGTCTACCCAAAGAATCTAAAAATCCCAGGTTTGAACCCTTGTGAGCTGGTGCGTTTCATACTACTGAGCAGTCCTATAGTAGGACGGAGCAGCTGTCCGATGCTGCCAGGTTTTTAGTGGTTCACCAACTGTTGTCTTTCCATGATGAATGTCAAGTTGAAGTAAATAGATCCTCACAAATTTTCAGAGTGAAACTTTTATTAAACTGGAGAAGTTCAGTTCATTGACATCCTTGAAATGATCAGTCGTCGTAAAATTAGATTATGCTTCAGAACCATTTTATCATTATTTTTCCTTTGGTTCCTGGTGGAACATAGGGCTTCAGTAACACGTCTCCAGTGCACTCTGTTCGCTGCAGTCTTTTGAACCTGGCTCCACGACTCTCCAAAAGTTTTCTTTTCTTCCTCACATGATCTCCTCCATGTCACCCTCACCTCCGACGTCCAACTCGTCGTTTCCCTTTTGCATTCCACTCAAGGGCCTGATGCGTGATGTTCCCAGTCGGTCTTCTCAGTGTATGCCCTATCCAATCTATCTCCACTTCCTTGTGCATATTTGTTTAGCGATAGGTTCTTGGTTGGTTCGTTATCAGAGTTCCTTGTTGCTTATTCTTATTATTCTGACCATCTGAGCTTTGGTAATGAGCTGGTGTAGGCAGTTGTTGATGAATGTCTGTAGTTTGTTGGAAATGCTTTTCGTAACGCGCCAAGTCTTTGAGCCATACAGAAGCCGTGACTAGACATTGGTGTTGAAAATTCAGATCTTGTCTTTTGTGCTGAGTGTAGTAGGTCTGCAGAGTGATTTCAGGTTAATGTAGGCCTGTCTTGCTTTTACGACCTTGGTTTTGACATCCTCGTCTGTGCCTGTAGTTGAAATGATGCTGCATAGGTAGGTGTAGGTGAAAGAGGCTACTTCCTTTAAGTTTCTTCCGTTAATGATGATTGGTGCCTCTTGTTGTTGATGCTGTTATTGGTTGGGTGTCTTCATCACCTCTGTCTTCTCAACATTCACTTGAAGTCTAATCTTTGCTGCCCTGCATCACTTCTTCTGTCAACTTGTTAGTTTTTACATGTAGATCTTCAAGTTTGTGTGACATTAGACAGAGACGTAGACATAAACATTAGAACCATAGATTCAGAATAAAGCTTGAAAATAAACAGAGAAAAGTAAACAAGAGGTCACCAGTTCATAAGACTAACATCGCAAACAACGAATAGGAAAAACTACAAGATGTGGTTAAAAATCATTCTCATAAAGTGATCATGCGGTCTAATATTCGGTAAGTCATAAACAGAATCTCAGCAAGTTATTTCAGAAAAAACATGACGTCTTACCCATTAGTTTGTCATTAAAAAAGTGGTAAAAGCTTGTCTTTTAATAAATAGTAATATACAGTCTAACACTTGTGTACTTTCTAACTCTTTCTAGAACTAATTGACTAAAAAATGCCAACTTATTCGGAATCCCATATTCAAGCTGAGAAATCACATCGAATTTAACTATAACGAATTCAATTAATAATTTAGTGGATAAGATTAATATATTATCTGATCAAATACATCAGTGTATGAATACCAGTACACAGTTTATAGATACTTCATCAAAATCATTCAATCCAAATGATCCTCATGCTGTATATGTTTACAATAAAAGTCTACTATGCATAATAAAGAGATTACTTCATTTAAAACAATCAAATCAGAATATAATCTTATCATTAAAACGTTATCAATATTATATGGAAAAATTAATTTATGATATACATGAAGAAAAGATTAAAAGTAAACAAGCAGAAATCCTTAGAGTTAAACATCGAACACATAAAGTAATACTACCTTTTTTTTTTAATTTATCTTATTCCTTCAATATATTTTTAGCATGATGATTTAATTCAACAAGTTGTACAATCTGAATGTAAATTATTAACAAATTTAAAACGAACCTTGGAATCGAAATTAGACCTTCTAATGAGTACAATAAAAGTAATAAACGGAATAAAAATATATCCTTTTAATTACTTTTAATTAGAATATAAAATGTATTCAGCATAAATTGGATCAATGGATTAATGAACATAAAAAAATGGTAACTCAATTTGACAAAGATACTGAAAAATTTACAAAGTTAACATTGGTAAAATGAAGTATATTCTTATTATGACTATTTTAAAATTTTTTTCCTTTATTTGTTATAGTTAGATAATCAAATTGAAACATTGAATAACTCTTATTCAACATCAATGGATTTAGACAAAATTTTCAAAATGATTGATTTTACTGTATCGCATATTGATACATTACAATATGATTTATTAGTAATGTTTGAAAGAATTAAACAATTTCTGACTGGTACAAGAAATTCAGTATATTATGCTTTAATTGAAGATTGTACATTTGTTGTTAAACAGATGGTGAGTTCAAAAGTGTGATGTTTTAAATAGTTAGTATTATTATAATTATTTGTCTCTTCCATTCCTAGTGAAACATATGGCTTCACTAGCACGTCGAAATTTCACTGTCATCTCCACAGTCTTTCCAACCTGAATCCACCACTGAACACAAGCTTCCGTTTCTTCATCACGCAATCTCCTCTGTGCTACACTCACCTATCACGCCAAACTCGTCGTTTCCCATTCGAGTGGGACTCGAATGCCTGGCCTGGTATGGTCTGGCATGGCACGTGATGTCCCCAAAACCGTCTCCTCAGTGTATGTCCAATCCAATCCATCTCCACATTCTTCTCCGCCTTTGCTGGACGATCGGCTGTTTGTTGGTTTGTTACCAGCCTCATTTCCTTGTTGCTTATTCTTATTATTTTCGCCACCTGATCTCCATCTTCAGTATCGAGTGAGTGTAGGTGGCAGCTGTTGATGTGATGTATGTGTGCAGTTGTTTGATGGAAATGCTTGTCATAAAGCGCCAAGTCTCTCAACCATCACACAGAAGCACTTACTTACCTGACTGAATTAGTGTTGAAAATCAGGATGTTGTTCACACTTTATGCTGAGTGGATTGGAGTGGAATGTAGTAGATGTCCACACTGATTATTTTAGACTAATGAGGGCCCCATCTTGGTGTCTTTCCGATCCTGTCTTTGACATCGTCATCTGTGTGATGGTAGCCTGTAGTTGAGAGGATGCTGCTTTGCCTAGGCAGGTGGGTGAGAGAGACAACTTCCTTTATGGTTCTCTCGTTGGTGGTGCTTGTTGTTGGTTGGATATCTTCATCATCTCGGTTATCTCTACGTGCACCTGAAGTCCGACATTAGACATAAATCATCATCGGTGAAATCCAAATTTTCTAGGGTCTTATCTTTGGTGATTTATTTTCGGATGCTATATGGTTAGTTTATCCTCTGGGAAGTGATTTATTGCTTAAATGCTTGCCGATAAGATGATATATATTTTATGTACCGAGATGACTTATTCACCCGGTGGAGAGATACACATTCATGATGACCAAGTTGAAATTTCTACTTCTGAAATTAACAGAAACGTCTTCAAAAATGTTTACATAATGTAGCAAACTAGTCAGAAATCAAGTTCTTTGCTAGTTTTAGTATTGATTTCCTCTAATATTTGTCGTTTCAGTTAATCACTTAGTTTACATCTTAGTTTATACTTTTATTTTGCAAGCGTAAACTCATCTTTTTTATTTATTTGTATGTTGTTTAAATTTAGCGCCAATTATTTGTGTCAAATTTAAAGCATAAAATGGCTCACAATCAAAATTTGAAAATGATAAATCAAATCATGAGTCAAAGACCTAACAAGGTGAAAATACTTTTTGTTTTCTATCATCAGTTGTTAAAATAAAGATCATTTGTTAATTTTTTTTAACTATATAAACTCTTCAATGATTGTTTTTATATGTTATTTGTTCGACTTCGAACTAGCTTAACTAATATCTATTATCTGTACTCATCACTTGTTTCATGTAATATCTCAGAAAAATGTGTCAGTTTATTTTGTAGTTCCACATCATATATCCTGTTCAAGAAAGTGGAAAAATACTAAGATGTAGCAATTTACTGAATTATAGCCTGATGATTCACTTCCATCTACAGAGAATTATTTATTGGGAATAATTTATGGCAACTCACTTGGTTCTTTTGACTTAAAGAAGAAAGAAACATTAGCTACTACTATGCTTGATAGCACAAATCAGTCAGCTTCAGATTCCGGAGACCTTTCTAGGATATATAATGGAAAGCTTATTAGTCTAACATTAGTTAGCTCCAGTGGGAACATGTTTACACCAAGAGTTCTATGTATCCTTAGTTTAATACGTCAAAGAAAAGTTTGATGATATGTGTACTTTATGAGTAACTGAAATAATGTTTAGATAACCTCTCTGATTAGTAGTATCTTACTTCTCATGGATAATCGTTATTCACTTGAAGACAATGAAACCTTTGTTTATTTTTTTTATCTCATTAAACATGAGGCACAGTTATACAAACAATATTCTGGAATTTGTATGAACTATATTCAAGATTTGACTGAATAGTGTAGGAAATATTGCTCGCTGAATGAAAGGTAGATGTTAGATATAGTTTATATTTGTGTAAGTCACAAAGCGCTTAATGTGAAAATAATCCCAACATTTTGTATAGAAGTCTGATTCAAGCTTGAAAGATATATTCCTGAAGAAACTTGAACCAGACTTCTATGCTAATACATTAGAATTATTTTACTTTCAAACACAAAGTGACCTACATAAATATAAATTATATCTAATATTCTGTAAGATGATAGAATAAATGTGAATTCAAATATATTTGATTCATATTCCAGCGATTATTACTGTGAACTTTAAATGACAAAAAAGAGCTATTGGATTATTTACAAATCATTTCAAAAAGCATTGTCTGAAACCTGTAATTAGCGAATTAGATAAACGCAGATATCTACTAGATAATTGCAGTCAATGATTAGTAATATCCTATGAAAACCTAAAGGATATGATATTTGGAATGAGTATGTTCGTAATAGCCGCCAACCAGACGCCAAAGATGTCTTGCAATATCTCTCTTAAGAGAAAACTATGATAATTCTTTACCTAGTTTACTAGTTATTAGATACCCTAGGTGCTGAAACCTTATTACAGAGGGTTTTTTAAATGAAGTGAGTAGAGAAAAATTTAGGCATTTGAGTTCACTCTACACTGGTATCCACTTGAATACGCAGTAGCAAAGCACAAATCTCCTGAGGGTAGAAGTGGAGTACTGAACTTAACTTTACCTGTCTATAGTATTCAGAGTAATTAGATTTCATATTTGAAATTCCAATCATGCTACTTATTACGAATAAAAAAGTTGCATTCTAACAATGAAAATGATCCATACGTAAACACCGTTGAATATCAAGAAAGTGCTGAAGATTCTGCCAAGACAGATCAAGGGAATGTTTTTAGTTGGATGCAATAAATAAAATAATAAAGAAACACAAACTGTTGGTCTATCTGTAACCGCTCTTGGGACAGCAACAGTGGATATGTTATAAGCTTATGACCATAAGAAACTGGTTCCGTATTTTAAACGGTAGATGTTTCCATGATACAAAAACTTCAAATGCCACATTTCTGTGATACATGCGATAGTGATAAGTTTATTGAGTACTGAACCTTACAGTAATTTGGTAACATCTGTTTTTATTATTATTTGTCCCTTGGGTTCCTTGTGCAGCAAAAGGGCTTAACTAGCGCGTCTCCATCTCACCCTGTTCCCTGCAGTCATTTCAACCTGGCTCCACAACTGCCCACAAGCTTTCATTTCTTCCTAACATAATCTCCTGCGTGTCACTCACGGACGCCCAACTCGTTTTCCATTTGGGTTCCACTTGAGGACCTGGCCTGGCACGTGATGTATCCGAATGTCTTTCTCAGCGTATGTCCAATCCATCTCCACTTCCTTCCGCATATTTGTTGGACGATACATTGTCGGATGGTTCGTTCCTAGCCAGAGTTCGTTGTTACTTTTTCTTATTATTCTGGCCATCTGATCTTCAGAAACAAGCGTAGGCAGCTGATGATGAATGTCTGCAGTTTGTTGGAAATGCCTTTTGTAACGCGCCAAGTCTCTGAACTATGTAGGAGCACTGATTTGACGTTGGTGTTTAAAATCCGGATCTTGTTCTTTATGCTGAGTGCGGAAGATCTCCACACTGATGTCAGACTGATGAAGACCTGTCTTGGTGTCTTTCCGAACCTGGTTTTGATATCCTCATCCATGACTCCACCGCCTGTAGTTGAGACGATGCTGCCATGCCTAGGTGGTAGGTGAAAGAGACAACTTCCTTTATGGTTCTCTCGTTGGTGATCTGTGCTTTTTATTGTTGTTGGTTGGATATTTTCATCACTTCGATGATCTCTACCTTCATCTGAGGTCCCATCTCCCTTCGCTGCCTCGCCTCTTCTGCCATCTTGTTAGTTTTTGCCTGTAGATCTTCGCATTAGTGCAACAAAACATTAGACATAAATAATCATTGGCGAAATCCAAATGTTCTTGGGTCTTTCCATCGGTGAAACAGCCCGTATCCATCTTCTCACTCCTCACAGTTGTTTGTTATATGGTCCCGTTCAGTTCAGTCCAGTCCAGTCAACCACAATCAGGAAAATCAGCGGTGATGATAGTAGGCGACACCTTGTCTTACTCTTGTCTTTACTTCATTTCAAAAGCGTTGCTGAACTGAGCTTTCCATTGTGAATCACTTGGCATGTAGCCTCATCATATAGCATGTAGCTGTTGAGTGAGTTTGATGAGGGTTTGTGACATTAAAAACGTAGTGTTGAAGCAGGAGCTTCCAAATTACTTCTCGATCGACTCTATCAAAGGCTTTTTCAAAGTCGATGAAGTTACTTAAGTGATTCGATTGATTTTACGGGGTATTGTTGCTATCCCAATGTCCAAACTTCCCTGTTTATCCGGGCTTAAGACCGGCTAGCAACTGCTTGCTACTACTTTATGGTTATTTTGTGTTTATTATAAGAAGTAGCTATCTTTTTCCTAAATTAAGGAGAATAAAAAAGAAACGCCTTTGGTAATCTTTAAATTGGTATTCTAGATGTTAAAAAACAGTATGAAATCCATTTCTGTTAAGTGATGAGACTAATGCGGCCAAACAGCTTTGGCATGTCAGTTTTACCCATGAAACTTAAATAGTAAGGCGCTTAATTTATGGATGAAAAACAACAAGTTAGACGGACTACTCACAAAAAAATATTGTTAGGTAGATGAAATGAAACTAAAGTTGAGCCTCGTAGCAGTCAGTACAGCACCAGAGACAATCGGTTCCAAACCTGCTAATTTTCACTTGTGCATTCACCTCTAATTATTGCCTATACTAACAGATCAGTTAACCAAGCCACATCTATTCCAGAGAATATCATCAACTTTGTAAACATCACTTCTTACACAATTATGAGAGTGAAAGTGTGCTGGTTTTGTATATTGAATGATCTGAACAAAATACTGTTTTAATTTGGGGGTTTGTAGATATTTATTGATTTCAAGTTGGTGTTCCTTATGGACAGATATTAGCTGGAGGAATATTGGAAATCTAGGAGCACTGCATAGCTTTTTCGTCCCGGTATGGGACCCTCAGCAGTGAGCACCCACAACCCCACCGGGGCAGAACCCGAAGACCCTCCAGTTCCGTGACCAACAAGTTACCATTACGTCACTAGGTCGGAATCCAATGGTCCATATGTCCAAGTTCTGTGCTGTCCGAGAAGTCTGAGGATTCTGGGTTCGATCCCTGGCCGAGGGGTCATAGAGTCATGACTCTGCACTACTGAAGAGTCCCGTACTAGAACAAAAGAATTTCTTACTGCTCTCAGGTTTCCAATTTTTCTCTGAATGGTGTCAGTCCCTAATGAATACCAACTTGAAATTATTTTGTACATTTTCATGGTATTTTTATTTTAATTTCATAATATTTTCTCATTTCAGTCAAATGAGAAAATAATGCAAAAATTATTGGAAAATAATGAACAGCTTCAAAAAGTCAGACGTGAAGTAACTATACACTTTGATCAATTAAATCATCATATGCAAGCTGATTTACAAACTATGCGAAATCGACGCAAGCAACAAGGAGAACACTTACTTCGATCAAATGATCAATCACCGAATTTAGTAGTTATAGGAATAAATCCTCAAATACATGAAATATAGACATTTTATTTGATATTTTCTTCAGAAAAAAAGTCAGCCAAACAGTAGGGATAGCTGAGAAGCTTAAGATAATCAAGTGTTAAATCTACAGATCAAATGGCTGTTTTTCTGTTGAATTGTTGATCAATTATTTATTGATTGAGTAAAGCTAAAGTTTTTAAAATAAAGTTGAATTTTTGTTTATATTTTTATGAAATGAACGGTAAATTATCGATCTGTTCAATTCATGTTGTCCTAGTATAAAGAAATGGTCTCTGGCATGACATAAATTATCCTAAGCGATTATTATTATTTGTCCCTTGGGTTCCTAGTGGAACATAGAACTTCAGTAGCATGCCTCCATTGCACTCTATTCTCTGCAGTCTTTTGAACCTCACTTCACGATGGTCCACAAGCTTTCATCCTAAACGATAATGAAGTTAAATGTAGTATAGTTAGTCAAGTAAGGACGTTCATAAAATAACTCTGGAAAAGGTCAGCATATATTCAGTAACACAAAATTCTGTAACCTCTTCTATCTTAACAGCTATCATTCAGTCAATAAAAGCGAAAACTATACAAAGAAAGTGGTAACACTTGATAATAGTCCTCTTCAGTAAATCTTAAATTGAATAATAAACCAAGAAAGAAAAAGAAGTACCTATAGCTACGTAAGAAATTATTATAATTAGGACAAAAGTAGTACAATCAATAGTGAGAACTTTGAGTCGTTTAGAAGCCTTCAACACGTCAAATAACAACTACCTAAAGCTGTTCTACCTTTGAAGGTTAACAGTACTAGCTGACCAGAATGAATTGACTACTTATCAGCCTATTAAGTTAAATCATATTGCTAAGTAGTAAGACATGCAGAGTAAAGTTGTTATTGAAAGTCTTTCAAAATAACACAGATTATAGAACCAAAACCAAAAAGTGTCCAAATTTGATAGATGTTAGTTGGATGGAGGCAATCGAAAGAAAGCCCTGGACCATGGTTTCGTGGTTGTTGGCGTCCCGACGGAAGTGATTTTTCGACTGATTTAGTGACGTTGCCACCGACCTATTCGGGCCGCAACTAACCTCCTGCAGGACTGGATTAGATACACTGATTGGTCACCGGAGGGAAACCAACTTCATATTGTCTAGTTGTATGTGCTAACCAAATTATATCGACCGTTTCCAAATTTAATAGCATAAAAGCCAAATAGTTCGACAAATCCTAGTTCAATATCGAACGTAAATTTGGAATCTTAACACAGTAAGACTTTTCAATTTCGACATTCATTTGATTTTAAGTTTCATTTGGCAAGATTTTTATCCTGAAAACGAGAAATAGTAGCGGTTGGACTGTGCAAAGAAAACTGTTCACAGACTTACAGAATTCATCGGGCTGTAAAATATTTCAAAATATTAGAATAAACGCACTTAACTGAATTCATCCAACCATTCAAGTTGAGTTAAAAGGTGACGAATGCTTAAAACATAATAGGACCAGGGTAGGTCCAGTTCAGTAATGCATTTAATTTAACATTTATTTATACTGCGTGATGATTGAAGGTGACCATCTGGTTTCCGTCTCGATGCTCTACCAACTGAGCTACAAGGTCCAACTGCTGACCAGATTTTGATTTTACTTCAATCATCATGTGTTTTGCCCAACTACCAGGTGAATTCGTGATGCGCTGCTACCACTTGATTGTATTCACATTAGCTGTCTAGTCAGGACTTCTCATCCAAATTTTTTCACCTTAAATCACCAACCAGTATAAATACTAGTCTGCCAAATCACGGATGTCTCAGATAGTCAAATGATAATCAGTATGATTCCCCTACTCTCTAATTCAGTTAAATTCGAACTGGAAGGAGAAGTCCTGACTAGACAGTCAGTGTGAATACGATCAAGCGGTAGTAACGCATCACAAATTCACGCGGTGATAGGGAAAAACCCTTGATGGTTGAAGTGAAATAAAAGTCTGGTCAGCAGTTGGACCTTGTAGGTCAGTTGGTAGAGTATCGAGCGGGAAACCCCGTGATTGCTAATTCCAAGCCGACCACAGTCCAATTTTTTATTTTACCTTCAATCACCACGTAGTATAAATACAAGTCCGCCAAACTATAACTATCTCAGTCAAATGATAACATTTATTTGTCGAAATTTGAAATACTGAAACTTATTAATAAAGAATATAACGAAGTGAAAGTTAAGATGAAATACAAACGGAGACTAACTTGATTTCATCGACTTGCAACGCAAGTGAGGTGAAAATAAAAACATACAAATATACATTTGTTTACGAAGGAGATTAATCGCCTGAACTCATATCATATTACCAAATAAAACTACTTTTGATTCATGTTAGTTGAACTTGTTTTCCTCCAAAATGAACCATTTCGTCTAACTTATTTGAAATAAGGTTTAGTTCTGAAGTCACGTCTGTCACATAGAAAGGTACAACATTATGACCAAAAGACGCTTACTTCATTAACTGTGCAAACTACTAAAACAATGGAAAAAGTAGTATGATAAGCATAAGGTAATAATTTCTTTCTCAAACTGCATGAAATGTTGTCTGAGGTTCATGAGGATTGGTTTTTAAAATAGTACTCATCACGGATTGACATTGGTTGGAAAACCACTTAAAAAAAGAAGCATTGAACACCTGTTTCGTCTTGGTATGGGTCTCCTTAGCAGTACATACTCACTACATCAACGAGAATCGAAATCAGGACCTTCAGATTTCACGGTGAACCAATTAACCATTCATTCACTGAGTCGAAATTCAATAATCCACAGTTTCCTACTTCTGTCAGTTCGAGACAGCTCAACTAACCACCAAGGTCATCAGTCGGCATTCACTTCACTTCTGATTGGTGGGCCTCACAGGTCACGACTTCTGGGTATCTGCAAGCATCTGGAAGCATGTCACTAATAAGCACTAAGAAGTAATGTAGATTGAGGTGCATGGGGATTTCATTTTTAAGATGTTATTTATCATGCTTAAAGCATTATTTTGTGAGTCATTCAATTTTCAATTAATTAGTGTTGCTCCATAAACATTTAAATCATCTAATGACCTCACAAGCTGGTTATAGGTAGGGTACAAGTTTAAATTCGGCATAAATATAGTGATTTGGAAACAAGAGTTAAAGTCAATGAAAATACTGAGTCACTCAAATACCGTCTGACTTACATTATCCATTACCCAGACTGTCTAACTTACTTTTCTGCTAACTGGGCATTTACACTATGATTAAGACTCTAGGAAAGGCCTGAAAATTCGTTTCATTGTTATAGAGGTCTGTCTAAAGTTTATTTTCCTTCGCCGTACGATCTTTAAAAGCTTCATCTAATGTCAAAGAAAAGTAGGTGTTGTAATTGAAAGTTGTCTTGACACATTGTAGAACGTCATTTTAATTAAGGTGATGAATCAAAACTTCGTAGGTCTTACTTTATTATATAATATTCGCTGTCATTACCCTAAGTTAGTCATTTTAAAAAGTTATGGCTTTCTGATGTGTTCAGGTATAATGCATATTCAATAACCACTTCAAAGCAATTATCATGTTTAATGAAACTAGTTATACAAGTTTTATGATACGCAAAAATGACTGTCTGATTCGTTGAAAAAACTGGAAAGAGTCCGAAAGCCAGAAAGGCATGTTGTACACTATACTTAAAGGTATATTTATCTTCCAGTTTTCGCACAATCTCGTCCCTTCCGTTTAAGATCTTCAGGAAGAATACCTTCATATCATCTTGGCATTGTAAGACTTGATGACTAATTGAATTCCTTCCTTATAAGCAACATTACTGCATTTCAGTCTGTTAACTAGACCAGATGGCTTTGACTTTTCCTACTAACCAAGCTAAGGTGTATAGAGCTTGAAATGCACAAAACGCTTAAGACCAGATTTATCATTAATTTTGTGAGTTCTTCAACTAAGCTACTTATTTTCATAGCATCACATTCCTTTTTTATATCAATAAGGTGATCAAAATGCTTTCAAAATCGAGTAACCTCAGTATTTCCACTTACTTTACATACAGTTTATTTTAGACTGTAACACAATTTAACACTGATCGGGACCTGCTGGTCACTAGATTTATAACTTAGCTTTTGCTACTTTACAATGATATAAGTGGCAATTTTATACGGCTTAGTACTAAGCAGGTGCTTCATAGAAAACAGTCAGTGCTATTTACATTCTGAAGTGAAGTTAACTAGAAGTGGGAACAATCTTAATGACAAATTTTCCCTAAACATATCATTGACGCACCCTTAACTGATGACTTCATAGGTGTCATCTAAGATACATCTGTGCACCTACTGTACATAATATCTTAATTCGTCAGTTTTTGGAAATAGCTCAGTAAAAAGGAAAAAAATGGTCCTACTGTTTATCTATTCCATGAAATGTCGGACTTCACCACTTTTCAAACAACAGCTTGAATCTATATATCCGATGGTCTGAATAAAGAACTGGAAGACGAAAATTTACAAAGAATACTACGTTTCAGAAATATATTCATCCTACTGTTCGTCTTTAAACTAAAAATTCACTGCCTAATCTTCCACTGAACACTTCAAAAAATCTCCTTAACACCTAGAAAAAAACGGATTCCAAAAGCAGGCATAAAAATGTGAAGCTGTTTCCCATCAGTCATACTTTATGATAAATTTTAAATTACTGTTCAAGTATTAGAATCAAACAAGATCCATTTTATGTAAATCCTCGTCAACATTTGGCATGACAGCTTCACAGATATTGGGTACCAAATAAAAAGTTGATATTAGACATAAGTTATAGTTGGACGAATCTCAGCGTGTTTGAAATAATAAATTCCAACGTTTCGCATGGAATTCTGCTCCAAGCTTCTGCAGGGAAATAATCAAAATCCACATTATCATCATTAATATATATATATATATAACCGATCAAAAATCGATTTCTGAAATACAAAACACAAACATACAGGTTTACTTTCATGTATCTATGTATCAGTTCACTACGGTGTGATTGATTAATAACCCTATTGAAAAACAATAAACAACCAGTCACTATTGAACAATGAGATGAACTACATGACTTTTGACCTGTTATATATATATATATATATATATATATATATATATATATATATATATATATATATATATATATATATCAATGATAATATG